TGGCTCCACTTTGCTTGGTTTTAACCTAATTGGAACAAACCTGACTGATTTAATATGGTGGAAAAAGATAACCCATTATAGAACTCCCCTGCAAGAACCAGCAACATCTGCACTTGTCTGAATGCTTGGCAGGGGAGGGAAACACTACACTACCGAGTTTCATCTTCTCAGTCTTTTCCTCCCCCCTAAGTTTATCTTAACACACAGAGATCTAATGTCATCCTTAACCACCATATTATCTGTCTTTGTAGCTCTAAACAGTATCATGGTTATGTACAAAGAAATCATGGTCAACTTTTACTACAGCAGTTGTTGCTACTGCACTGTAACGAACCGGGTGGAAGGGCAGGTGCCTAGTGGCTACATGGGAAATGTGGCTCTAGCCATATGATGATTAGCTTCATACCAGACATCACAACATCACAGTTCTGGAAAACGGATGAAATCGTGAAAAGGGTATCCACGTGGCTTCAGCTCAGTTTATTATTGCAGTATTTGTGCTTTTACTGTAGCATCAGGAAGTCTTGTCCACCTTGTAGACTGAGAGTGGATCTGTGTTGGAAAAGGGATTTCAATGCCTCTGTTTCCTACTTTACCTTTTCCTACCTTGTCTCAGAAGTATACACCCATAGGCCACCAGCACTTCTTTTCCCACTGAAAAGAACTTAATCTGCGAGAGCAGGCAGTTTCCTTTGGATTTGGAAGTGGCTATGGAGAACCTCATTGAGTATTTGTCAGAGGTTGATATGCAGAAGATGTTTTCATGGTGTCGAGAGTTGAAGAAGGAAGAATTGTTTTTATAGCACCAGCTAAAGAAATGCAGGAGGGGAAATTCCCCTAAAGACCCACTTGAGTCGTATGTCCTTTCCGTGACAAGCCTCCTGGCCCTCACGGTCCTGTACCATGGCTGTTAGTTTGTCTGTGTTCCTGAGGTCAGTTCATTGCAAACAAGCTTCACTCTGAGTGGCTGACAGCATGTACCTGGGTGGTCAACTGAACCACAGCTTACAGGAGGCTGTTTCAAAGTATGTTGCACTGATTAGCTGAAAATGCTGAGCTGTTCAGAAACTGGCTCCTGACCAGCTTGGGCACTGATGCAATGTGGACAGTTGAGGAAGGTTATTTAGTCTCGTTCTCTCTTAGCTGATTAGTAGTTTCCTCAGATAAGTCTAATTAAAGTGAGTTTGTGTGTGAAGTAACATACTACTGGTTTGAAGATAAGATACCAAAGTTATCACAGGTCCTGGAAGACTGCTGCAGAAAATTGCTATGTAATGAAATCTTAGCCACTTATTCAGCAGGTCTCATCTTCTTAAATTCAGCTGATGAGAAGCTAGCAAAAAGGTCTCTTGGACCTATAGAAACCAATGGGTTTCTGTTTATTTTCAACTCTTCCAAGCTAAAGAATTGCCTATGAAATTACATTTTCCTCGTTTGAAAGCCATGAAGTGTGTCTGGATAAAGCCTTGAGGCTTTGGCATTCAGGTTTGTAAGACTGGGAGGAAGTATTGGGGGAAGGATGTAAATGTTTAATTTCCTGTTTTCCTTACCAATATTCTTTGTTACTTGAAAGACTGAACAGAATAAAATTACAACATTCCTAATGTATCTGCTGGCGTGTCAAAATCAAAGTGCAGCTTGAACTTTATTCTTAATTTATCACTAGGCTATGAACACTTCCTATTTCAGGGGGGTGGGAAGGGAAATTGGAGGATTGCTACTCTGTAAATCCGTTTTATTTGGAAGCTTGGACATTTGTCCAACTGCAGGAAGTGCAAAGTATTGTACATGCTCTTTCTGTGTGACATCACGTGACCATGTGAAATGTAGCCAAAGCAAACGTGGATCTTCATGCCAAGAACTGCTTCAAAATGCTCCTGCTGCCTGCTGCCCTTCGAGATGTCAGTGAAGACTAAGTGGCATTTCCAAACGGCTTTCCTGGGCGAGGTGCCACTACCTCTATTAGTCATTTTTTTCCACAAAAAATGGCAATTACTTCAAAGACCAATTAGCCTTCTTTGATAATTTAAGTTAGTACTGTGTGACTTGTACCCTCTCATTGCAGCCAAATGCCAGGTTATGTGTGCAGGAGCACAGAATCTAAAGGATCTCCAAAATGCCTGCTTTGAAGAATATGGAGACTACAGGATTAAAGGTTAGAACTGGACAAATGTTCCTATTGTGAGCCAAGGTACTAAAATGTCTCTTGCATAAATAGGAGGAAAATGAGGAGTAGGGGAAAACCTTATTGTTGTATAGCCTTATTTAGGTTAGAAAGGAGTGTGTACACGTCAGAAGGAATGTTGAAATATTGGGTAAGGCACAGAACCACAGAGAAAAGGTTGTGCAAGAGCTCGTATTACATTAAGGAGGCTGATGAATATACATGTCTCTTAAAGACCAAGAAAATACCGAAGGCCTCTCTATCCTAGCAGAGCAAAGCTGAGCAAGAACAAGTAGCCTGAGCCTGAAATTAATTTTAAAAATCCCTATGTTTTTAACAGGAAGATTGTGCTTTTTCCCTCATTATAACAAACTAGTGGAAGTAACAAAATACTCTATCTTCAAATCAAAAAATGATTTCACCTCTGGAGAGGGTAGTTTGTTTTAGTAAGTTATTGGGTTTAACACATTAGACCTTAATGAAATATAATGACATGAACTAACAGGAAATAATTTAGTGGTTCCTTCTGGCTTCAAACCTATGATGTATTTATATGCAATATTTGTGGGAGTTTTTCAGTATTCATGCAGTTGCCCTAGTTATGGGAATGTATCCTGTGTCAGCTAACTCCACAGCAAGGAGGTGAAAGAAATCCCTCATTATATTCCTATACCACAATCTGCAGAAATAGGAACTGATGCTGTGACTGCACTTGGAAAGGCAGATTAACAGTAGCCACAGTCCTCACAGGTGCCAAAACAAATCTAAACAGGAGTATAGTATACACTTGTATGCAACAGCTGTATTTAAATTGCTTGTGTGAGTATCAGTCCAGAAACATGCACAGTTTACCAGTCTGTATGGGTTCTCTGGGCAGCCTAATATTCTGCAGTTGAGATGTCTCTGTAGGTAGGCCAGGAAGTAATTCTTTGATAATCAGATATGGTTTTTTGAGACTAGCTGGGAGCAACACGCCTGTGTACTTTGTTCTGGTAGATCTGTTCATACTTGTGAAAAGCCATGTCGTTCAGACTTTTAATTACAGCTCACAAACACATTTAATGCTGCTGCACTAGAATGTCTGTGTGCCTGCTCAGCCAAAATCCTAGTAAAGGTGTCCCATTTGTCCCCATTCAAAGTGGCATTATAGTTCATTTATATATAAGGGATGTTTGGGGCTTTTTCTTTCTAATTTTTCTGCAATATTTTGCTTTTATATTCTTAAGTTGCTTAAATCATAGGAAAATATCCTTTTTACTCCCTAAATAGGTATTCTTGATTTGCAAGTCTAGCTGTAGAACTATACACATTTTTTAGCATGCAGACTGGGATTATGCACCAAAACATGCTTGGAGACTGTGTAGAAAGTGTGAGAGGTGGAAGCTGTGATAACTCATTTTGGCTGCTGTCTTCATAAGGTTTTAAGCACAAAGAACAAAGTTTATTTGGATTCTTATGTTGCATGAAAAGTTAAGGCCTTTCTGTCCAAAACAGGTCATCAGAGGTAACTGGAATTCAATGTGCTAGCAGGAAACATGTCTCCTATGACTGAAATATTTGGGAAGAGTTGGGTGGAGTCTTGGTACCCAAATGAACGGTTGGAGAAAGGGCATCTGTGACTCATCGGTTAGAGTGGCTGCCCTTCAAGGAAGCTCCAGAAATGCAGCTTTAAAAACAGCTTTCAGTGGGGTTGTCCGTTCACTTACACTAAATTGCATGTTTTAAGAACTGCAGTGCGGGGGACAGACTAAAAATGTGTAAATACAGATTATTTGAGTTTATTCAGAAAACCCAGAAAGGCTTTCAACAACAAATTCCTCAATGTGAAACAATGATTAACAGTACAGGCATGAAGGGGTTCACTGTTGGAATGGGTTTGATTTGAATAAAAAGCTCTGGAATTACCCTCGTAAGCCAAGTCCAGGATGTGCTGGATCCTCCTGTATTGATTCAGAGATCAAATTGCCTTTTTTTCACTGCAAACATTTATCTCAGTACAGAGTCACTGCTAAACTCTCCAGTACAGCAGTTTTTCCTCTTCACTCGTAGCTTGGGTGGACAGATGTCTACAGGGAATGCTCCTCAGCTTTGTGTTTTGTAGTGTCCCTAATAACATGACTGTGGCCATCTTTGAAACTCCTTGATAAGTCAGGATGATGAGCACAGTCACTTAACATACAAACCAAGGACTAGTATTTTTAAGACAGGGGAAGGGCGAAATCCAGGCAAGACTCTAGATTTGAAAACACAGATCTCCAAAATTATCAAATACATTGATATACCTTTCATTGTGGTAAATATCTAAACCCTGTAAT